GCTGCTCGTAGTGGGGTGGGGTGGAGTGTGGGGGGGTGTTTAATATTGAGAAAATGAAAAAAAAAATTACAATATTGCCAAGATGTCATTAAAATTAAAAACAAACACGGGCGGGCAGGCGGCTGTGCGGGGGGCTGACGGCCGTGCGTGTGCCCTGCAGAGCGGGAGGTGGTGGCGGAGTGCGCCCTGCAGCTGCGCAGGATAGGCGACAAGTGGGACCTGCGGCAGAAGATCCTGAACCTGCTCACGAAGCTATTCTGCCCGGAAACGTGAGCTCCCCTCGGACACGGTGTGCTGAAAAGAAAGGGAAGACCTCGGCTTTGTGGATTTGGAACAAGAGACTTCACTGACACTGGGAGATGAAGAAAGCTCTTTGCGTTGTGTTTTACTGCCTGTAGCTGCTGAAGGATGGCTGTCGCAACATGATTTCTTTGAGGAATGTTGCAGCAATATTGGCGTATAAATGCCAGGTGGGAAAAAAAAGATAGCAATGGGCAGAGCCCCTCGCCTCGCGATGGGGAGACTTGGGGCAAGACAGAACTTGCCCTTCAGGCTGGTCTGGGAAGACTTCCAGGAGCCTGGTTTCCCCAGTTGCCCTCTGGTCCTCGTGTCCCACAGCTACGTTTCACCGCAGAGCTTGGACCACCTTTGAGAAGAAGACAAATAAAGTCATTGTCTTGGAACATGGGGTCATATATCACAAGGCAAAAGCCAGTTGCTTGATTTCTGACTGCTTTTGTTTTCTAAAGCATGGATTCTGCTGGACAGGAATCTGGTGGTGGGATTATTTCATTTGTTAATTAAACCACTGTCTTTATTGAAAGGTTATGTGTTACATTATGTTGCTTTGTGGACTAAAAATTACAATTCTATGAATTAACACGATGTTGCATAGTTCTAGTCTATATTATATATAATGTATATATTTGTGTATATATATTATATATATAAAAAATATAAATATGTGCACACCCTGTGAATTAACACGATGTTGCATAGTTCTAGTCTATATTATATATAATGTATATATTTGTGTATATATATTATATATATAAAAAATATAAATATGTGCACCCCATGTGTATGACATGAGTATTTCACAGACCTATTAATTGAATGCTACTTGTTTAGGCTCAAAATGTGGTATGAAAATATGTTCAAAACATGACATAAAAATACATTATATTAACTAGAAGAAAGCATAATGTTTTCTGATAATGAAATATATCATGCATCAGAGAGGGGAGCATACTTTAGTATAGCATTATATAAGACATATATATGAATGAATATATATTACACAAATACAGATATTGAGGTGTGTGTGGTGGAAGGATTCTTTCAATATTACAAAGAATTTCTTGAGAACAGTACAATACTGCTGTGTCTTTATAAGTAACAAAATAACTCTTCAATAGAAGTAGATCTTAAAGTTGAATCTAAGCTGAATCTCAAGTTTTCTTGAGAATGTTATTTATTCAAAGAAAGTTACTACCTCTCTTTGAAGAAATAATATCAATAAAATTGAATGTTACAGTCAGTACAGGAAAGTAGCCTTGGATTTCTGAATGTTTAATGATACTTACAAGTGAAGGTTCTTCCCTTGTACTTTATTTCCATTTCATTTCATGGTAACCTCATTTTGGTTTCAGAATGATGAAGCCACTGCAGCACGTCCAGTGGATTGTGATGCATTATGGCTATCTCACTGAAGGGTTATTACCCTTGGCTGGCTTCAGAGGAGCTGAATTAAGCACACCTTGATCGCCATCAAGGCAAACTAACTCTGCTAGTCAACTCATGTTGGACACGATCCTAAACAGTATTTTTTCATGGGTGCAAGCTAGCAAGAAAATGGCTGAAGCTGATCATGTTTGTAGCTACCTCTTAGGTCAACGGTCAGTGTTCCTTCTCTTAACTAACCTTGTATGTAAGTACATTTGCATCATATAAGGCTGTATAGTTGCACTTTCTGAATTCTGGGTCTGTTCAAACTGCATTTTTTCCTGCCTTGTAGTGAATTCTTGTTTGTATTTATAATGAATTTTTCAGTTAGCTCTCCTGACTTTGCCTTTGCAAAATGGTCATTACATAGCTCTGGTCACTCTGTCACAACCAACTGTATATGGCTGTTACTTGTTATCACTGATTTCACTAAGCAGAAGCTGACTGACTTTGCCTGCTTTCCACACGGAGGGTTTAACCCCATCCCAGTGGCGTTATTGGGAGCTTTGCCATTGGCTTGAGCCACATGCATGGTTCCCTCCTCCTCTAAGTCAGCTAATACCTTTCCAGTGAGAACGTGTTTCAAGAGTAGTTGTTATTCGTCTTAGTACTGCAAAGTAACGTGTTTTGCTGATATGGACAGAGGTCAGTTTTTCAGGTATTAAAAAGTAAATGCAGAGTTTTTGCTAGGCCAAACGCCAGCTCCCCGGCTAGTGCCGCGTGCAAGTTGGCAAAGCTGTTCGTCAAAGGCAACCCTGTCTTCAATAGAAGGGCTGCCGCTGTATGTCCTGGGCTTGGTGGAGTCTTGGAGTCTTCATTATGGACACTAAACAATGACTGTGCCTGCCTGGGACTCTCAGGAAAATTCATCATTACCATTTGCATTAGTAGCTGAAATGTATTCGAATAAAAGTGTTCTGCTCAATGTACGCTGCTTCGAAATTCAATAGGAAACAAGGTGCGGGCTTCATAGAGCCTGCCCAATTCTTCAGGCTGTAGCACACACGATTGTTATGAAAAAAAAAGCATCCCCATAATTCATTGTCATGGGGATATCTGAGTTAAGTATTAGCACAGTATTTTTCTGTCTAGATCTGCAAAGACTCTTTGCTTTTTATGAAACTTTTTTAATGTTTCTCTGAGCATTGTCAAGAGCGCCAGCATTCACCGGGAGCTTGGGAAAGAGACCTAGATCTAAGCGATCAGTGCCAGTATATAAGCAAGCGCTTGCTGATGTCCTCCCTAGGATTCCTTTTGTTACTTCTGCAAAGGATCTGCTATATGACTGTATCAACATGATTTTGTTTTTCTTAAGGCCTACTCTGGATATGGGCCAGATGCTTTGCTGTATGCCCCATGCATGTATGTCTTGAATTCTTGCTGAGATAATAAATACAAAGCGTTTGCGAAATGAGTCTCTCTCATTTGAGAAAAATGAGTCGTTGTTATAACTCAGGGGTTTTTTTCAGATTCTGAATGCGTGATCGTATTATACAAATTCCTTCCATACTTCCAAGTCAGCGGGCACACACTAGGGCAACGGCAGAGTGCCAGTAGGTATGCATGGGGAGATTAGGCTTTTACTTCTGTCTTTAAGAGGAACAAGACATAACCATATCCTTGAACTTCAAAATGGGAAACTGAGACACCTATTCTGGTATTTTTTAGTAACTACTGCCCGCAGAGTAGTTGGGTGGTGTCAGGGGCTCCATTACCTCTACCAGAGGTGTTGCAGCTTTGAGGAAGAGTCCCTGGGGATCAGTGAAGGATAGAATCCAAGGGTTTTGTCTCGGATGCAGGCAGAAAGGAATACAGCGTTTCACCAAGATCAGATTTTGACTTTCTCCAAAGTTTGAAGCTGGAGTTTTGGAAAAGGGGGAAATGATACTGCTTACCGCAAGGCAATAGCAAAGGGATAGTGCAGAGCTTATTCTTCCTCCCTAAAGCTGGGACCCAAAGATGTGTCTGTGGAGAGGAGAGCCCGAGATCCTCACCTGCTACGCCATGCACATAGCAGGCCTTCCCCCTGACTCATCGTGCTGCTTCTCCCCAGCTTCAGGGGCAGGGAGCGCCATGCCTGGGGCATGTGTTCCCAGTACAAGCAGGACTAAGAGCTTCCTGGCTGAAGGCTCTGGTTTCTAGTAAACAAGAAAAAACGAAGGGAAGCAGTTCCCTGTCCTTTCTCAGTTAGCCACTAGCAGAGGCTTGGAGGAACTTTACTTCAGGAGGCATCAGCAAAGCAGTCCTGAGAAGGCCCATCAGCCCGATGCCAAGTGCTACCATAGGTGCTGCACAGTGCATTTTTGCACAGCCCCACCAGCAAATTACACTTGTAGGACTCGTCAGCCTTGTGAAACATCCAGACACCCTCACCCACTGCCTGCCGGAACCTGGCCCCTCTGCAGCCAGGTCACCACCAGAGCACAGTGCTTGTGACCTGCTCCTCCCTAAAGGGCAGGGGAAAAAAAAATCCCATCACTGGGGAATGGCATCGCTGTCTGAAGGCGCCTGACTCACACGCAAGCACCTGATATCAAAAAACCAAACCAAACCCAGCTGCTGAAGCAAACTGCTGGAGTTGCCGCCCCATAGCACTCTCCATTAACCACGGCCCGTGGGCACCTGCCAGAGCAGCAAGTGCAGCCTCAGGTCGCATTCGCACTGTGCTTGCCCAGGCGAAAACCAGTCCGGTGTCCTTGGCCAGCTCATGCTCTTACACCTGAGACTGGATGCACATGTGGTATTTCCTCAACAAATTGCTAGACAACAGACAACACCTCCCTCCTTCCCTCTCCCCCCTGCAGGATGTTTTTTTAAGTCATCTGAAAAACAATGTCTCATATGCTGCTCATTATTTTTAGCACGTGCTGCTGGAAAGGACTAATGTTATCATTTTCCTCCCGTTGACATGAGATGGTGTGAGGGCATGACGTGCATCCATAGAGGTGCAAGGAGGCCGGACAGGAAGGGCTGGGGATATGATGTGTCGACTTTCGGTCTGGCAGGGTTTTCCATGAAGTAGGTAACTGTCTGATGGCGGGACTGTCAGTGAGCAATAGTTCCAAAAGCTGTTACAGCTGTAAACAAGGGTCTTTACCCAAGTGCGTCACTCTGTTGTCTGGATGATGGCATAAGAAACCGGCCACACCAAGGCTACCCTCCCTTCTCACGCATGGTCTCTTTCCAATGCAAATCTCACCAGTCCGCAAGCCCTCCGAAAGCATGGAGGCAGATGTCACTCCTTTAGCAACAGGAGATATCTCATGAAATGGCAGTGACCTCAAATTATTCCAGCCATTTCATCTTACAGGGGCTTTGGCATCATTCCCTTCTCTGCAGGAAAGGACGGCGGGAGCACCACTTGGCTCAGCTCCTCCGTGCTGCTGCCACTGCTTGAAGGGCCAAGGCACCTTTCTTCAGGGGACAATCCAGCTGCAAACCTCGGAAGAAACCAGTTACCTTCAGCAACAGTGGGTAAGGCTGGCGAACAGGACGCCAGCACCCTTGCGTTACCACCATGACACTGTTGCAGTGCCCACCTGGGGGACTCAGAGCAGAGGATGGCCCTGG